CCATTTTACACATAATAGGGGAGAACAATACATAAATTGGGGGAATAACACAAGAAACTTAACAACACACTACCACACAGATCTTGAAAACTACTTGAGATCTAGTAGAATGTGTCAAGATGCACTGGAATGTCTCAAAGCTGAGTGTTTTGCACTTTGAAATTTACCTGTCTAGGAGCTTTAGAAAATATAGTTGCTGTTTAAGGGAACAAACAGGGAAGTGTTGTTACAACTTTGAGAACCTGGCTTATATGCTGGAACTTGCCCATCTCTCAAACTCCCAAGTGTTTTGGTAGTGGTGTAGTCTGAAAACTAAATGGAATGTCTAAGTAGACATTTCTTCAGACTCTTACCAATATATTATACCTCAAACACATCATAATGCAGCGTGCCATGTCCCATAATGTTTCACAGTAATTCAGTAACTGCAAAATTAACTTCATGACTAAAGTACTGCATGCCCCTCTGGTCTCATTCTAATGTACACAATTTTCACAAGCTAAAATACTGTCACAAGTGAAGCTTACATTGTAGTTTGAGGTCTTCATACTGAAATCTGGCTGTTATAAATAAATACCTAATTGGAATTGTTTTTTCTTCCCCAGAAGATTTGGTAATAGATCCAGGTATTTTTAGAAGCAAAGCATACTCAAATATATTTTAGTCTCCTGTTCCAAAGCACAAGTACTCCTCACATGATTATGCACCTTCTGCAATGTCAACTTTCCTTTACTTGGCAGCTTCAGCATATTGCCATGAAGTAGAACTTTATAAATAGCTGTTTGAAAGAGACTCTCCACCCCCTCTGATTTCTAGGGTTTTCTCTCTCCTTTCTTCTTGAAAAGACTGGTTTAAAGTCAGATTTAAAGAGACCGCTGGGATCAGCAAATTTGTGCTGCCCAGACAGAATTTTAGGTATTTTGATAAGAAAGGGAACTTTATGAAGTCATATAAATTACAATTTAAAAGTAGCTGGTATCCAGTGCTGTGCTTTCCTAATGTCCTCAAGAGATAACATATAAATTTTAGTGAAGTAGAATGTGTTTTAAAATGATGCTTAACTAAGCACAGAAGCTTACTGCAGTTGAATGCTATTAAAGTTAAAAAAAAAAAAAAAAAAAAAGCCATTCCCCAATTTAGGCTGACAAGATGTCAGCATTTCAGCATTTTGTTCTACCTGAACCCCTCAGGAAGAAAGGCTCAGTACTTTTC